ACATGAAATGGCTTTAGCCACTTGAACTTGTGAACGTGGGAAAGAACCCTTCTCTTCTTAGGCCGTGGGTTGTTTGTCTCAGCCTTGGCTGCTGGTTACTCAGGCAGCCACAAGAGCTGCAAAAGCCCCCAAGAAGCTCGCCCCTGAGTGTGGCAGTGCCCTGAGTAGATCTGATGTGAAGCATTCCCCAGGGCAACCCAGTCTGTCCTTCTGCCACCTAGGTGAAGCTCTCACTGTTTGTTATTGGATCTGCTTGCTTGCACTTCGGGCAGAGCCCACAGTATCCGCGGTAGACTGAACACACGGACCATTTGTCTATGGAGAATTGTTTCTGATTTCCTGATGATGGTGTTACATAAAAGACACATATGTTCTGTGGTGGTCAGTGGAGGCCATTTGGTCTGAGGCTCAGCACTAAACCATGCCAGACAACTAAAAATGGGAACCGAACAACATTCCCTTTTCACAAGATTTCAAACTGTTTCCCGTTTGATCCTACCGTTCTCAGCAGCCGCAAACCCGCACCAGGGTGTACGTATTTAAAGATACTACAACAGGAGAATTGTTTGAAGCCCAGATGTGCAGCCGGTTCTGGTCCACTGAACCCCAGGTGTCGTGAACATTGCTGTTCAACACACATCTTTATTGTAAAGAAAGGAATACAGAAAATACCTTGAAATAGTATACCTTGATGGATCCAGCTGCTCTTGTGTTGCAGATTCTCATTAAGGCGTTTGATTTTTTTTTTTTTTTTTTTTTTTTTTTTTTTGTCAAAGAGACGGGCTTTTTGCTCATCTTCTCTTATTTATCCCCCTCAACAAGAGCTTGAAGTCCCCGAGAGCCAGAGCTTGGGCTACTGCAGTGTGCTTGCACGAACCTTTGATTACCAGGGACCCGCACCCGGAAGCCCCTGTGCCGGCCCGGCCCTTCCCCTACATCTCCTGACTCCTGTTCTCATCATTCCCCTCCACAGCGGGGTTTCTAGCAGTGACATAAGCATCAGAATCCTTTGCGGTCAGTGGTTCCTGACTGTCGCTTCGTTCTCCTTTTCCTAAGTTGTTATTCGAATAGCCCTCTGCGCCCTGTTGTTCTTCCTGAGTTAAGTTGGTTCGTGTTATTTAACAAACCCTTGAATTCATCATTCTTCATTAGCATGAGTTTTTATTATTTCTGTTTCTTTGCATCGGGTTGATGGTGTGTTTTCAGAAGCAAACCCTGCTTGTGTGTGGAATCCCGCCTGGTTCCCCAGCTCGGTGTGAATTCCTCGGGTGGTGCCTGATGTGGTGGAGGACACTGCTCACTCCCGAGCTGGTGTCCTGTGTGGCGTCCCTCTATCTGTCTCGCGTCTTCTCCAGCTTTCTCCGAGTCCCTGACTGTGTTCCCAGGAACATACCTGCCTCCTTCACTGAGGGTGTTGCATTCCTCAGAGTCGCTTTCCAGGACTGGCAGGGCAGCTGCCTTTTCCCCTCTCCCAGAACTCTAGGGTCAACCTCCTGTGACCCTGTCAATTGCTATTCTTACTTATTTTTCAGAGGTGTCGAAGGTGGGTCCCTGGGTCTTGCAGATGTTAGGCGAGTACGTACCACCAAGCTGTTAGCCTTTTTCAGTCTACTACTGAGAGTTTAAAATACATGCTGGAAGCCAGCCTCTCACTCCAGACTATCAGTGTGCCTCCGCCTCCGCCTCTGAGGCTCCTGGACTTCATTGGTCCTTCACTGCCAATGCTCAGTTGTAGAGTCGTTAGGATTCTCCAGTTTACGGTGTCTGTGTGACCAAAAAAAAAAAAAAAGTCTTTATTTATAGCTTTGCTTACTTGAAAATGTCTAAACTGAGCCGGAGACACAGCCCGGAATGTAGAGTGCTGAGTGTGCGGGCTGAGGATGCGAGTTCAGTGTCCAGATCCACACTGCAGACAAGTGCCAGATGCCCCAAGACACCCCAGTGAGCCCTTAGTGACGGTTGGGGACACAGTCAGATCTTGTAGGGGACACTGTGACGTCTGTTGGAGAGGACTTCCCACGCTTGGTTTTTGTGTCCTGGTGCTGTCCTTGTAAAGTGCTGTGTTTGGTGGTTGCACTGGTAAAGATTGTTCTGCAGGAGGTCTGTGTGGACAGACACTGAAGGTGAGGATGGCCATGCTCATCCCAAGGTTTGGGAGCTCATACAGTTCCTGCCTTCCTTTGCTCTGGATCCCAAGTTGTCGTAAAGGACAGATGTTACTTGACACTCACTGTGAACTTTATGAGGGGTTGAAAGTTTTGAAGATGGTTACGGTTCATCTCCCTCTCACACAGATGAGAAACTAGGAGCCCGGAGATGATATTCCATGATAAGTGCTCCATCCCTGTCCCGGTGTGTGTGTGTGTGTGTGTGTGTGTGTGTGTGTGTGTGTGTATGAGTGTGTGCGCATGCGTGTGTATGTGTGGTTTGTGGTTGGTGACAATTGATTCTTGTCCAGAAGCGATGGAAAGCTACTGGGCACTGACCTCAGTGGGGGCAAAGACTGTTAGCAAAGGGTATGGCCAGGCTGTGAGGAGGGACTTGCTGTGAAGTCATTTGTACCAGGGCTCAGTAGCTCATTTGTCCTCTTGCTGAATCTCCCCCTCCCCACAAGAGACACAGAAACGCGTGTGTTCATGGAAGAGAAACATCCAAAGGCTACGGAGTTAGCTCTGGCAAACACGAGGTTCAGGGGTCAGTTCCCAGCATCCAGACACACGCACAGACGAAAACCTCACAAAATAAATAAACCCCAGCTGTCTAGTGGGGCTTTTGACCCGGTCACTCTCTCCACTCAGCTTTCCTCCTGGTCAGTGTAAGTCTCAGATTAGCCCTTTCCCAGGACGTGGGGAGACTTCAGAGCCAGTGTTCGGGTTAGCAGTAGGGAAGGGCATTTGTGACAGTAGAAAATTCAATGGCGTTCTTCAGAATGATCCACAGAGGATCCTTCACAGGCAGTAACCTGCTGGGTGCTGTTCTGGGGACATCGGGATTTGAACTGCTCGTGACCCCTATTGTCATCTCACTGGTGCCCTTGTGAAGTGGGAGTCGGGAAGAGTCTCAAACTAGAAGATAGCTGGGGGTCATAGCAGTCTGTCCCTGCGACAGAATCCGGCAACCAATCACCACAGACACCGTCTGGTGGCCGGTGGTCAGAGGGGAGGTGACGTCCAGCGATCCTCCCGTTTGGGTAACTTCGTCATGCACAGGTGTTGAGGTGGGAAGCTGCAGGCTTGTGGGAAAGGAGGGAGATGGTCTGCCTTATGTGTTGTTGGTTGGGTATCAGTGTCCTTATTCCTCTGGGCCCCACCTCCCATTCTCGATTTGAAAGAGTCAGGCCTATGAACTGGCTTCCTCTGAGAATTCATTGACAAGTCTGCTGTGGAGATCAGGTCGTATTTCTGCTCCCTCACTGAGAACTTTAGGGTTGGAGACCCGAAAGCCTGTTAGCGGGCTGCCCTGTTGATGAGCAGGGACACCCGATCGATCGTCTGGCCAGGCCGTCAGCTCTCTGCAGACCGGGCCATGCTGGCTGGTGGCGGCTTTGATCTTGTCCCTTGTACTCTCTTTGTCTCTGGACACCAAATGCAGCCACTTGGCCTCCTGCCACCCTGAGGTGTCACTTGTGACGTCAGGGGATCTAGTCTTCACGCTTTTTCCCAGCTTACTCCAAGCACAGGCTCTTCCCATAGCCAGGCCCTTAGGGATAGCATCAAGCCGTGGCTTGGGGTGGCAGCCGGGCCTGGTCCCTCACTCTGGCTGACCAGCCCTGCTGTCTCTGGCAGTCATCAGGGAGGTGCTGGGGTTCTCTAAGCACCTCTGGCCCAAGTGGTCCAAGCTGGGGGCTCACCGGGTCCTCTCTTCCTTTACACTTGGAGCAGATGGGGCTTAACTCCTTACCAACACCCTTCTTTTTTTTTTTTTTTTTTTTTTTTTTGGTTTTTTGAGACAGGGTTTCTCTGTGTAGCTTTGCGCCTCTCCTGGAACTCACTTGGTAGCCCAGGCTGGCCTCGAACTCACAGAGATCCGCCTGGCTCTGCCTCCCGAGTGCTGGGATTAAAGGCGTGCGCCACCACCGCCCGGCACCAACACCCTTCTATGAGAGTGTGAACAGCAGAGGAACTGTCCCGTAGGTGTGCAGGCAGGGTGGTGTGGGCCGACTGCCCTGATGGAGTCCCTGGTTCGCTCCACAGACAGGTTTCACATCTGACACTTGGAGCAGATCTTTAGAATGAAAGATGTCTGAGTGGCCCCGACACAGAGAGGTGTCAGAGTTGAGACCCTGAGCGTGCAGGGGGTGGATGGTAGCAGTGTTTGCTGGAGGCACTGGTTGGTCCATTTCCCAAGTGCAGTGGGAAGCCTGGGAAGGTTTTCAGCTGAGGAGTCAACAAATCTTGTTTTAGTTTTAGTTTGCAACGCTTGCTGTTTGGGAAATAGGGTTTGTAAGTTAAGCACGGGACAGGGAGAGCAGGGAGGGCCTTCAGCTTCTGTCCTTGATAGAGAGAGGGGCAGTGTGGCCTGACTGGCCAGGATCAGATGAGCACCCTTCCTGCTGGTATGACAGCGTGTCCTGCAGTGACTGCAGTATCAGGGCACACCGCTCACCCCTGCTCTGCAGGGACCTGAGCTCATGGAGTCCTATTTCACCCAGCACTATGTCTGAGGATTTTCCTAGCATGGTGTCACACTTTCCCTCAGGCGGCCTTTGAACTCTCTTACCAGTCAAGCTGTCCTTATGGGTAAACGTTGCAGTGTATAACATTTGATGTTCTTATATAAATAAGCCGACAACAGATTGCAGCTTGAAGACAACCTTAACAGAGGAGACCTAGCAGGTTTAGTTTTCAACCTGGCTGTTTGATAACTAGACTGTGCTTAGCTGCACCCTCTAAGCCATCCACAGCCAGAGCCTGAGGTGGTAGAAACAGCATGCTTTATTATATGCCGGGGTTCTGCTTGTCCTTTAACCACGCCTCACTTCTGTTATCTCTGTGTTCAAGTACCAGGACACGAACATGCAGGGAGTTGTGTACGAGCTGAACAGCTACATAGAGCAGCGCCTGGACACAGGTGGGGACAACCACCTGCTCCTCTATGAACTGAGCAGCATCATCAGGATAGGTAAGGCACACTGCACTCCCTCTCGGGTGGGGTCACTTCGCAAAGAGTGACAAGAGGCCTCTGACCCGCGAGGGGGATGGGCCTCTTGGCTGCCTTCTGTTGCGGGGGTGGGGAGGGTGGGGGGGGGTGGGGGGGTGGGGGGGTGGGGGTGGGGCTCAGTTTGTAGCGGAAGTATTTGAGTGTGAAACTACCAGAATGAATAAACCCACAAATCTCCGGATTATCTGAGCGTGTTATAAGTAAGCGCCTGCCTGCCTGCTATATGCAGTGGCTCCCACCTGGGGCCAGCACCTGCTTTTTTCTTTGTATCCAACTAAATTGCATCTTCAAAAAGGAAGAGGCCAGGTTTTTAAAAGAGTGTTTTAATTTATTCTTTGACAGTTTCATGCAGTCTATTTTGAGCATATTTATTCCCCTCTTCCAACTCCTCCCAGATTCTCCCCAACACTACCCACCCAGCTTAGCTGTTAATTTTTAAGGGAGACAAGCATGCTTTGAACTTACTCAGGCAGCCAGAAATGGCCTGTATTGTAGCCAGGATGCTGAAGTCTTCAGGGCATGGTGTTTTCCGTCGTCCCCTATGATGCTGAGTCTTTCAAGTTTTTAATCTGAGAATCAAAACGCCTGGACATGTGGATGGCAGTGTTATGACATCACTTCCTGCTAGGCACTCTGCAAGCTACCGCGTGTGCTGACTGGCTCGTTTTCATCCTCACTTCCCAAGTGAGCCTGTGACCCCACTGTTTTGTTGATCAGGAGGCTTCAGATGAGCCAGGCTAGATACCCACCCAAACACGCACAGACCCAAGTGAGTTATAGGGAGTTTAAATCTGGGTGACACTCCACCCCCCCAGAACTTAGAGTGTTCGTCATGATAATTGCTTTTGGATAATCTTGAAGAAACATGTAAGTTAAAATCGGTTCACTTCATTGTTATGTGTATATTTACATTATGATTTTGGTGGGCACTTAATTATTCAGTATTCTTGTGGATTTTTTTAATACTTAAAAATTAAGTGCAGTGCGCCTCTGTCACACTGTGAGGATTGAAGGCCCAACAGATGATATGTGTGAGGTGTGTAGACTGCACTGTGCATTGGAGGATGCCATGAACCTATTTGCAGTCAGAGGTGAAAACTGGGAATCTTGTGATTATACTGTCGGGCAAAGCCACACATTACCCTGTTCTATTTATGGGCATCGGTTATGTTAACCAATCCATGCAAAGGCTGGAACCAGAGTCTCGTTGTAGAATCCACGATGTTACGTTCTTCCATTGAGATTAGTCTCTTCCTTCTTTTTATTGCTTTGGCAGCCACAAAAGCCGACGGATTTGCACTGTACTTCCTTGGAGAGTGCAATAATGTAAGTATCTATATTTAGATTTTGGTGCTCTAGTTAAGAAAGTCTCGCGAGTGCTCTAAGAATCTACTCTACTGCAAACAGCAGGCGTGTCGTAATGTGTACCTTAAGGCTTGTTTGGTTTTGGCTTGTATGTACAGTTACTGCCTGTCAGTAACAGCCCTGCAGCAGACAGGCCTAACATGCAGTTGATGCGTGTGTTCTTGCTCTGGTTTATAGTATCCTGTACCATGTGTGTTATTTCTAGAATGTGTTTTTTTCCTATAAAAGTTACTTCAGTCCTGCGGGCTGTGGTGCCACAGAGGGGAGCCTGTGTCCTTTCTGCACTTCCTCTACCTCAGAGTAAATAAGAACAAAAGGTTAGCGTTGTGGGATTTCTCTAGGGTTTGAAAAGTGAGTCTGTTAAAAAGGACTGGGGTGGGGGTGGGAGGGGGGTGGCCACTAAGCCTGGGCCAGAGTCTCTGACTCTGTGGCTGTTCCTGGATTCCTGATTGAGTACATGTGACACGGCCCGTGGTCACCTGCAGGACACATACGTGCAGACACATTTCACTGACTCCAGTATTGGTGTCTCATTTGCTATGTCCTGGCACTAATCTTAATGTGTTCATTGTAACAAAGTCCGTTCATAAGCTCATGAGGTAAATGTGCTGCTTTTATGAGTTGGGCCGCACCATGGTGATTTGTGGTGGGGATTTGCCACATGATTCCTATGTTCTTGAGTCACTAAACATATAGCATTGGTGTTAGAGAGCATGCTGGCAGGAAGACTGAGGAAGGGCTCTGAGATTTGTAAGGCCCTGTTCCCGAGTAGTACAGTAATGCAGTGAAAGCGGGCTGTGTCCAAACCTTGGTTGGCTTGCCTCATAACCAGTCCTCTCACTGTCCACAGCCATCGTTAGCCTGTGTGATGTGACAGTTTACTAATGTCTCTCTTCCTGACGTCACAGCTCATGTGGGGTGAGGACCTTTGCCAGCCCTGTCCCCTCCCCTGTGTCTGTCAAAGGAACAGTGAGACAAGAATGTCCACCAGAGTGCGTTATTCAGACTTCAGTCAGCTTTGAAGGCTTGGAATTGTACTGCAGTGTTTAAGATGGCTAATCTCCGAAAATAAAGAGCTGTATTCTTTCTCATTTAAAATCATTTTTTTAAAGATTGCAGAGATAGTCTTTAATTTAAAATTGAAATCTTATTTTAACTGACACACACACACACATAGAGAATGATCATGTCAGTGAGGTGTATCATGTGAGCCCTAGTCAGACCTTTTCAGCCGTCAGTTGGATGGGTTCACACACATGGTCCTCTCGGGGCAGTTTTCATACTCCTCTCCTTCCAGCACCACAGTGGCTTGTGTTGGATGTGGTTTCACATCTCTTGGAATATCAGGATGTGTGGCTAGAGCATAGCCTGGGTAGGGGTTTTCTCTTGTACCCAGGGGTTCCTGTTAGAGAAATGACTTCCTCAGCCCTCCAGATGTTACTTTCCTTTTTTGCCATCTCACCTTCATCTCAGCCTTTCCTTAGGGTCATTGTCTTCCACCTGAGGTTCTTCCTGTAGCTCCTCTCAGGGAGGGATGATTGGTGGGAACCCTGGGTGAATGTGTCTCATTTCACCCAGTTTCTTCAGTGATTCATTTGGTCTACAGTGGATTCAGGCTGATGGATTTCTGACTCTGAAAGTCAACTGAAAGCTGTTGCTTGCCTGCCCTTTCAGCTCATCATCCTCCAAGGATGGTTCTTATCCCTAGATGGAGTTAAGTTCACTTTCTGCTTCTTCCAGTTTCATTCCTTGAGTCTTAGGAGCTTCCGTCTTCTTTCCAAATTGTTTCTTGTGCCTTTGTTCACAGCCCCCTCTCCAGCACTGACATAATTGTGCACGTGTTTCATGTGCCCCGCCTTCCCTTCCTATCCAGAATAAGATACTTCTGTATCTATTCTTCTTCCAACTGTTTTGTGCTTGGTGTTGAAGCTCCTTTCTTGTGCTCTCCAGTGAGAGCTGGGCCCCTTAACTGTGTTGTCCAGGTGAGATATCCATCACAGTGAGATGGACAGAGCCTCATACATCCTAATTTCAAGGTCTTCTTATCTCTTTTCACGTTATTTCCTGTCCCGTTGGCCTGTGATGACAGAGCTGTGGCCTACGTTTGTGTGTTTGGCATGGTGTGCACCTGCATGCAGGGTGCCCTGCATCACCCCAGGAGAGCCGCATTACTTACTGTTGTCTTGGGAGGTTCACACATTTAGACTTTAGTTGGTACCCAAGAAAAAGGCAGCTGTGAGATTTTGTTACCTCCCAGCATCCCTTATTTTCTTCATATTAGGTTTCCGGGGAACTATTTTCATTATTCTCTGTCCAGTGATGCTCTTAACAGGTTAAGAGCCATTCCTGTTCTTCTAGAAGACATGAATTCAGTTGCCAGCACCTACATTGGGTGGCTCGCAACTACCTGTAACTCCAGCTTCAGGGGATGGGATGGCCTTCCTGGCCTCTGCTGGCATGCATGTGCATGCATGTACACACACAAACATTCATGTAGATACACATATACATGAGTGAAAAAAAAACATTAAATTATACGTTTTCCAGCTTCTCTAAATGATTAAAACTTTTTTTCAAGAGTGTAATTTCTCGATCTGATCCTGCTGGTGTTTGTGAAAGGTGGTAGGTCTTTGCAGCAGATCTTACTTTCCATGGGGAAGTTCTGCTGCTGCTGCAATGTGCTCACACATCCTTTTTGTCTGTGAGAGGTGGAGCATTGCGCATAAGGAAAGTGTTTTGTTGTTTTTATTATTTTAAAAAAAATTATTCTTTGTTTGAGAATTTCATACGTGCATGTAATGCATTTTGATTGCATTATATGCAGTCCATCCCCTTTTCTTGCCCTCTAGTTTCTCCTCTGCTCTTCTCCACACTGTTCCTTCCCACTTTTGTGGGCTCTTTACTTAAACCTCCTGGGTCAGCTTAGTGTATATATAATGACAGTCTGCTGGAGCACGGGCCAATGCTCTGTCCCCCAACAGCCTTCGGCTGATAGTGGAGCCTCAGCTTGCGGATGGGGCTTCACGAGCCCCTCCCCCATGCCTGCTTTGATTTTTGTTGACCCGATCTCCTGCAGGTCTTGTGCACACAGTAATGGTTGCTGCGAGCTGTGTGTACAAGATACTGTGTCACATCCAGCAAACACTGTTTTGTCATAGATGTCCACTACCTCCAGCTCTTACAATCTTCCTGCTTCCCTCACCCCTGCTTCCATAATGATCCCTAAGTCTTGGGGCAGGGTAAGGGATATGACATAGCTGTTTCATTTAGAGTTGTGGAGAGTTCCACAGTCTCTTATTCTCAGCATATCAACAAACTGTAGGCCTCTGTACTAATCGCTGTCTACTATAAAAAGAAACTTACTCGATGAGGGTTAATACATACACTAATCTGGAGGTTTAAGAATAAACACTAGGGGGACTGTATTGCTCTGTTTATTCGGTAGAATAATAGTATTAGGTTTCCCTCTAGGGCCTATGGCCTGGCCAGTCTTGGTGTTTTGGCCAGGTAGCAGTACCAGGCATGAGTTCCTTCTTGTGGGGTGTGAGTTGAGTCTGATCAGAAAGTGGTTGGTTACTCCCTTGCACGCCGCTGCTGCACCAGTGAGCTTGTATCGGCAGGGCTGTTGGTGATCTAGTTCCCAGGGTTCACCCTTAGGAAAGAAAGTGGATTCTTTTTCTCTGCTGGCAGAATGCAGAGCATCCTCCAGCACTATGAAAGGTAGCCAGTAGGGATGAGGTTCCTAGGTTAGTACCAGCAAGATTTCTTCATGTACTGTGACTCAAGAATGTGGTGTTTTCAGCAACAGGGACGTACAATCAAGTTCTGGAGGATAACCAAAGCATTGGCAATAGCCTATAATATTTGGGGGTCTAGGAACTCACCAGCCGACCATTCCAAAAGAGCTAAATTATTCCCGGCACTGACTTTTTTATTTGAATATATATCTATATCTATATATATCTATATAGATATAGATATAGATATATCCTTCTACATAAAGAGGCTCAAGGACAGAAATCACAAGATCTTATTATTAGATGCAAAAAAGGCCTTTGACAAGACCCAACATCTTTTCATGATAAAAGTTTTGGAGAATCTAGGGATATGAGGGACATATCTCAATAGGCAGTATATAACAAGCCCACAGCCATAATCATGCTGAACGGAGAAAAACTCAAAAAAGTATTCCCACTTAACTCAGGAGCAAAAGGATGTCCGTTCTCTCCTTTCCTGTTCAGTATAGTACTTGAAGTCTTAGCTAGAAAAAGAAGACAAATGAAGGAGATAAAATACAAATAGGAGAGGAAAAAGTCAGATATCTTTATTTTCAGATGATATGATTCTATACATAAAGACATTAAAGACTCCATCAGGAAATTCCTACAGCCTGTAACACTCTAAGCAAAGTAGCAAGTTAAAAAGTTAACTGTGGCCTTTTTCTATGCAAATGACAAACAGACTGAGAAAGAAATCAAGGAATCAATACCTCTCACAATAACCTCAAAAAAAATAACTAACCAAGAAAGTGCAAGATTTGTATGATTAAAAATTTTAAGACCTTGAAGAAATTGAAGAAGACCTCAGAAGATGGAAAGATCTCCCATGCTTAAGGGTCAGTAGGATTAATATAGTGAAAATGGCCAGTCTACCTAAAGTAATCTACAGATTCGATGCAACCCCCATCGAAATTCCAGCACAACTCTTCACAGAACTTGAAAGCATAATTTTCAGATTCCTGTTGAGACACAAAAAAAACCCTGTTAGCCTAAATAATCCTGAATAATAGAAGAACTGCTGGAATTATTACCATCCCAGATTTCAAGTTTTACTACAGACCTATAATAATGGAAACAACTTTCTAGTGGCATAAAAACAGAGTTATGGATTAATGGAATAGAATTGAGAACCCATATGCAGACCCACAGCCTCCCAACGGCCACCTGATCGTTGTTAAAGAG